CCTTCCCTCTTCCTTCCTCCCTCCCTTCCTTCCTTCCTTCCTTCCTTCCTTCCTTCCTTCCTTCCTTCCTTTCTTTCCAACTTAGGAAAGTGAGAGGCCATATGAAATTTCAGAAATTGATGACAATCCCAAGATAGCTGAGGTAAGAACTCTTGGTTGTAATCACTGTATATCATCACACAGTAAACAAATCTGGTGAAGCAAGGGTTTTAAAGCCTTTTGCATCACAGGAGAAGTACAGTTATGAGCATGTGTGGAAAAGAGACAACCAAGTGAAACTCAAACACAGGGGAGCTTCTCCGTAATTCTATTGGCTGGATAGGAATTCAAGGTTGAATTAATATTAGAAAATCAAGGTAATATAATGTATTTTACTGAGAAATTAAAAGAGAAAAATCATGTGACCACCTCAATAGGAAAAGAAACTACAACATTTTTTTTTAAATTTTATTTTTTATTACAAAGGGTATTACATATGTGTCCATTTTTCCCCCCCGCCCTAGACAGTCCCCTAGTCTCCCCTATTCCCCAGTGTCTTAAATAATGCTCTCCAGTTACAACATTTTAACAGCCATTTGTGGTGTGGAAACTTTAGCAAACTAAAAATAGAATAGGGATGTTCTTAAATGGAATGGAGATATCTTTTTAAAAAATTACATCAAACATTATACCTAAGGGTAAATTGTTAATGAATTCTTCCTTTTCAAGGTCAGAAACAAACCAAGGATGCCCATTATTACCACTTCTATTCAATATTGTATGGTCCTAGTCAATGCAATAGAATATGAAAAGGAAGTAGGGCATATAAGACTCAAAGAGAAGAAACAAAACTTTCATTATTTTCAGATGATATGATTACCTACAGATAAATTGTTAGAATTATCAAGCAATTCTAACAAGTTTACTGGATACAAAATCAGTATACAAAAGTAATTTGCATTTCTAAAAATCAATAACAATATAAAAAATAAAAAAAGTTTAAATACCCTTTTGTAGTGGCAATAAAATATACATAGAATGCTGAGGAATATAACCCCTTTAAGGAGAAATAGAAAGTTTTAGTAAAAGATATTATATAAGACCTAAATAATGGGAATTATATACCATGCTCATGGATAGGGAAGCTCAACAGCATAAAGATGTCAAACAACCTAAAATTGGTCTACATAATAAATGTAACTCCAATGTAAATCCCAACAGATTTTTTTTTCATGGAACTTAATAAGGCACTTCTAAAATCTAAATGGGAGAAGGCAGAAAAAAGGTTAGTAACAATGGACACATGAAATAGAAAACAAATAGCAAAAATGTAGATTTAAACCCAACTGTGTCAATATCCCATTAAATATAATTGATATAAATATCTCAATTAAAAGGCAGAGATATTAAGATTGGGTATAAAAGCAAGATACAACTATATATTGCCTACTAAAACTCACTTTAAATATAAAGACACTAATAGATTAAAATAAAGAATAGAACAACAGACACCATGCTAACATTAAGCAAGAGAATGCTGAATGGCCCGAAAACCCTCCCAAGGCAGCAACCTCAGGCAATTATTTGTTTTCTGTCTTTTAAGGATCACTGTCCATCCTTGCTGATGTCCAGTGTCTTGAAAACTATTGTTTTAGATGGTTTGTCTGAATTTTGGTTCTTGTAGGTAGGAGGATAAGTCTGGTTGTTGTTACTCCAACTTGGCCGGTAGCAGAAGTCTCTGCTGTATTTTTAAAAACCTGTTTGTTTTCTCAAGAATCCTAGGAGACCACCCACACGTGAGAAGAATATGATGGGAGCAGAAGAAGCTCACATATATGTGAATACTGTATCAGGAAGTGAGGAGATCATGCCTGACACTTATCGCCCTACTGTGGAGATGGAGAGAAGGAGGGGATTGTGGTGGCTTGTGCCCAGACTGAGCCTGGAATGATGTAGCTCAAAGAGCAGAACTGGAGCTGGAAACCCGGGGACCTGAGCGTGGAGTGAGGAGAGATGCTAAGCTGCTTCGTAACCAATCCAAATTTCATTGATGGATCTGGAAAACTTTTGGATTGGCTTGTTTCTTTGAGGACAGATCTGACAAGGTTCATTCCAGCTCTCAGATCTTGTGGTTTAAGAAGCAGCGAACCACCAAGTGAGATCACTGTGCATCCAGAAGGAGCCCTTGGGTCCCGTTCCTGACCTCAGTGGGAATTGTGTGTGTCTGTGTGTGTGTGTGTGTGTGTGTGTGTGTGTGTGTGTGTGTGTGTGATTTTAGAAAAAGGGCTTGATTTCTGAGTGTCTTGCCTCCTCACCTTTTTTTAAAATCCCATTTCTCAGAAAATCATTATACCTGGCTTCTATGGGAGGGTTCGTCAAGGCCAGCCTGATATAAAAATGAAGCTCAGAGGGAGTAATGAAGGAAAGCAGATCCTGTTTCTGAATATCTCAGGGTAGAAATCAGATGGAGCCACACATGCCTTGACTACAGGGGCAGCACATGGTTGGACCATTCATTACTCCCACTGTGTCTGTGATCAGACATATTTAAGGAAGACAAATTGCAATGGGCTGTGTGCACATGTGTGTGTGTACGGTAAATAGTGTTTTAAATGATTATTAGAAATGAGGCTATATCCATTTTGTGGGAGTAGAGAGAAAAGCCCAAGTCCTTGGACTATCATGGGGAAAAGCTCATGGACAAGAAGAGAGATCCAGAGGGTTCAGTACATGAACACTGGGCCGAAGGGGTGGCCTGAGTAGCAATGTGGCTGTGTGTGAGGGAAGGCTGTGCAGTGTCAGCTGGCTCGGGCCAGGCCTTCACCATCGCTTCTGTGAGGAGGCTTCCGGGAATCCTGTCTCCTCTCTTCTTCAAATAACAAAGGACGGATTCTACAAACTCAGTCACTGCCACATGCCATCTATGCTTTGCAAAGCCCCTTGTGAAATTCAGTTGTACTCTATATCCCCCAGGTGCAGTCACTTTGGCCATTTTGTCTATAATATGAGGTCTGACATATGTTGGACCATTTATTTTAATTCTACTTACAATCCATTGCTTAGAATCTTTCGTTCAAATTGTTTCTACTAAACTAGCAAGGTTCAATGTTTCTATCATTTTTTTTCTGCTACAATGCACAAAAACTTATCCTATATAATAAAAGGCTAATATGCAAATTGTCCCCTCGGGCGGGAGCTGGACTGACTGGGAGTTCGACCTGGGGGTGAGGCCAGCTGGCCAACCACCCGCGGCCCCTCCCCTTGGCCAGCCCTGCCCCCGATTGGCCCCCCCATCCCGATTGGGGCAGTGGCGTCCCTCCTGTCGGCTGACCCAGCCTGATTGGCCCCGATCAGGGCAGTCCAGCCAGACCCCACCCATGCATGAATTCATGCACCGGGCCTCTAGTTGTGGAATAAATGAAACAGTCCTTCTTATGGACCTGTGACACATCTGTGGTTTTTCTCCACCTATATTAAAGTATACGACATTGGCCCTGGGGTTGGAATTAAGACTATCCCAGGGGTGCTCCTGGTGCTGGCACTCTCTCTGCCAGCTGGTGATGGAGATGATCAGTCCTCCACAGGGTGCAGCCCATGATCATGTTGTGCTTGCCTTCAAAGGGTCTTCAGTTCACCACCAGAGGGCGCGCTGCCCCAAAGCCAAAGGCACTGAGGACGTCTGAATTCCACAAACTAGTCACCACCCTAATTGATGAAATTCCGTTATAGAGCACAAAACGGTGTGGCTCCAAATCCTCCCATTACTTCAAGCCTACTAGGATCCCTCCTCCTCTGAGAAGGCTCCCTGGCCTCCTGCCCCACAGTCTGTAATGCCCATCTTCCCCTCCGGGGGGCAGCCCTCTTACTGTTGTGCCGATCAGCCATTCTCTCTGACATTGCCTTCCAGGCCTCCTCGCTCCATGATTCCGGCCTCGGAATGTCTGGCCGAATGAAACCTGTTTCTCCCCTGGTGATCAGCCTTAAACTCTTTATTCTTTCATTTTTTTGTTTTTGTTTTACAGTATTTTCTAATAGTTGAGTGAAAAAAAGGAAGAAGATTCAATCATCTTGTGTCCTCCTATTTTTATTGGAAATAGACAGTATTTCGGCTACACTGTGGGGAAGTGGGCTTTGATGAGGAGCCTGGAAAGGAGCCACCAACGACAACACTGTTTCTATGGCAAAATGCATTGTGAATTCTAAGCAACGGTCGTACAAATGGCCTATTAGAGCATAGCCCGTTACCAGGTGATGCCTTGTCATGTTTCCAAAACTAGTTACTGCTGGAAACAATCTGCATTTCAGTGAGACTTAAAAACCCCCCAACTTATCCTAAGGCATCGTTAACTATAATATGAAGCATATTTATTTAACCTGAAGCTTTTTTTTAAAAAAAGTCAACAAAATTTTCTAGGCATTTCTTTCCCATGGATCAATGTACTCCAGTCCCAGGTGTGCAAAAATGTCTTCTTCACTTTCTGCTTCGAGAAATATCCTCTGAAAGCATAACAAGAAATATGGGCATTCAGATATTTTTGTTCAGCATCACAGTGCTAACACAAAGCAAGTGTTACTTGTAAAACTATCTTGACAAAATGAATTATTGCCAAAAACAGAATTCCCTGCTTCTGAGCATTAAAAGTCATCTTAACTGAATTCTATAATTTTTATATTTTCCCAGGACAAAACATAGCACTTAACAAATTAAGGTAAAATTATGACAGCCTCATATATTCAGTTAAAGGCACTTAGTATTTTTTCCTGTGGATCTTAACCACAGTTGTTCATTAAAACCACCTGAAGAAGTTTTAAAAAAATATATTGAAACTTGAGCTCAGTCTAATGAAATCAGAATGTCAGAAGAGTTCTTGCAATCAATCTATTAAAAACCTCCGGGTAATTCTAATGTGCAGCTGGAACTCAGTACTGTTGCTATAGGTAACGAGGAGTGACAAGAATTGGGTACTCCTATGTGTTGTGTTCTCCTCCTGGCCCTCCACACCTGCCCTTACCCCACCAGGCTTCCACTCTTGTCTTCTTTAAGACCAAACACCACTTCTCCTCCATCCCATAGTGTTGGGTACATAGGAAACACTCGATTATGTTGAACTATTTATTATATGTCAATTTGCAAGTGTTCCTAAATAGGGTTATGTGAATCTGCCTCCACGCACACGCTCAACATTCATCCAGTATCCATGGGCCTCTCTTCTGACAAGAGCACCTAGATTTTTCTTTGGGAACGCCCCACCCCCCACTCTCAGTCCATGAGGATCAGGGGGGGCTGATCTCACCTCCAAAAAGGGACACACAATCCAAGTCTGGCCAATCAGAGCCACCGTAACGGATTCAGGATGGGCACAGGGCCCAGGCCTGGCCGATGAGCATCAGCTCAGGCTCTTGCTGGAACTACTAGGTAAGAGGCTCTTCTCTGTTGGGGTGGCTAAGCTGGAAGGATGGGACTCATGGGAAAACCCTGCCTAAGAATGAAACCAGCACGGAGGGAAACCTGTGTGAGCGCCTGGATGCAGCCATACCTGAAGTCAATATTACCTGGATGCTGCAGTATTTAAGCCAAATTCCTCTTTGGTGTCCATGCCGTTTTAGGTTGGGTTCCTGACACTTGTAACGAAGAAAGGTCTAACTAAATACACCTTATATAAACTATAAACTAGAGGGCAAACACGATTACTTTCAGTTATTTTATGTCTCCTTTCCTCTCAGAGCTTAGTTTAATGTCCTTGACCACTGTACGAACAGTAGACCTCAGCACTTGTGGACTAACAGTTGAACATTTTTTTAGCTCTTTATAACTGATATAGTAATTTATCATTTTGCCGCTGCGTGAGTTTGAATTATGACATTGCCAGGCTGGCATGCCAAATGAGTAACATGGCTGCTGAGTGAGCCTAACTGACCACTCGGCAACCTCTCAGGGCAGCTCTGACGCTTCCCTTCTTGCAGTCGACTCTCATTAATGACCTAAGGGGTCACTCACAATGCTACTGCCTACTGCATTTGAGGAGTGCTTGAGTGGTATTTGTGATCTTTGGTTTTCTTTGGAGTTACTCATCACAAACACCAAGGATATACTAAACTCAATGAATATTCACTGCTGGACTGGTTCTGTGGGCCCCATGAGCTCGTCACCTTTGAGCCCAGTGCCCCTGAGGTGCATTCTGGGCCAGGTGGGAGGCTGTGCTCCCATTAGGATCTTCCCAGCTGCCCTCAGCTATGGTCTGTGGGAGCAGAACACTCTGGGCAAAGGAAATGGGAACTGGACACTAAAATCAGTTCAGGAAAAGTGCTCAGGGAGCCAGCCCTTGGGAGGAGGGTCAAAGTCGCCCATCTCAGGGAACAGCTCTACCTTGGTCTTGTCGTACAGAGCATGGTTATCCAGCATCATCTTCCGCTCGTGTGTGGCATAGCGCCGGAGGTCTCTCTCAAATTGCTAGACAAGAGGTAAATAAAATAAGTTACTATCAAGTCTAGACTGTCTTCAGTATTATGCATTTAGAGGCATTTACATCCCTAAAATGAAATATCTATCTCAACACTAAACGTTCCACGAAGTGGAATTAAACTCTGCTAAACATTCTCAAAACGATTTTCTCCCCCAGATCAAAGCTCTGCTATGACAGAACTCTGTGCTCATGTGTTCACACTAGAATGTAAGCTCTGTGGAAACAGGAACTCAATTTCTTTTGTTCTTAACTATACAGTATTCCTCGTCAAATATGCCTGGCACGTTGATGTATGGCAAATGTTTGCTGAATGAACAAATGGATATTGTGAGGATTGTGTACAGAATAATATCTGGTTCAGAGTAAATGCTGGCTAAGTAATTTGGGGGGACTTTTGTTTTTGTTTTTTTTTAATTTGGAATATTAGATTTCCAAAAGGGAAGGAGGAATCAGGAGACCCAGGTTCCAGCCTGGATTTTGTCCCTATCTGGCTGTACATCTCTTGACAAGTCACCCAGCCTCTCTGAATCTTGTCTGCTCAAACAGGATGGTGGAAGAAGTGCATGCGGAAGGTCCCCTCTGGTTCTAACATCCTCTCATATGAGATTCTGTAAAGCAGATGGTCTGAGCCACCTGCCCCAGAGCAGCATCTCCTATGATCAGGGTGGACTCTGAAGTCACAGGGGAAAAAAACCTGAAGCCTAAACTAGCAGACAGGAACGACTTGGAATAGGAGGACAATCAATGAAATTGTCATTGAAATTGATTTTTCTGAGAAGCGTAAATCTAGAAATACTGTCCTTTCCTGTGGGAATCGGGTGAAAGTAGGGATAATTGCGCCCTCTAGTGGCGAGGCATGCTTTTTTATTACAGGAAAGCAGGGTGGAGCTGGGAACTGCTCTGCTAGCCCACCACTTGGGTGTGTGAGAAGACAGATTTTCCAAGCAGGAGGCCTTTATAATGCAACAGAGGGAGGCCAGGATTGTGGGGAAAGTGGGGTGAAGCAGATTCTGGGTGCTGTAGCTGCTGGTCAGCACAGAGCCTCCTCCCAGCCCTGGGTCTCTCTCCTGCGGTCTACCACGCTTAGAATAGTGGCTGCTCACGCTGAGGGGAAGTCTGGAGATGAGGAGATAATGGGGTCACTGAGAGGCTGCCCTGGGCTCCCCAGCTCTGCGTGGTGAGAGGTTCCTGGACTCCTGTGCTAAAATGTCAGGAGCATTTTCCCACACACTGTTAGGGATTATGATGATGGCTTTCATTTGGAGAGTATGAATGTTTACTCAACAAATATTTGTTAATCATCTATTATGTGCCAGGTGTGTTCTGGGTCTTTGGGATAATTCCAGCCCCAAAGCACAGACACCTGACATTTAACTCAAGGTTGAGGGCAACTCATTTGTGTCATGTCATTCATCTCCCATATAAAAACCTCCAAGGACTCATTTCTCTGAGGCACAGCCAGCTGCTTTGGGACACGGGTGAAACAGTGGGGGGCGGGGGAGGAGGACTTAGTTCAGAGTGTGGAGCACGTGCTAATGAGACTCCAACCAGGGGCTCCATCTCTGTGATTATAAAATGCCTGGAGCGGGGAGCTGCCGCCTGGCCCGCCTGACCAGGTGCCGGGGGTGTGCCGAGGGCTTTGCCAGCTTCGTCTCACTGAATCCTGTGAGCCAGGGAGGTAGCTGACTGAGGTCATCGCCCTCACTTTCCTGATGGGAAAACTAAGACTTACAGGACATCGGGAGCCTGTCCTACATCACCCAGCTGCTAGGGGGCAGTGCAGAGACGTGTGACCAGGTGTGGGGCGGCCAAGCCTGTGCTCTGAGCCACCATGCTGCTGCCTCTGCCTCAGTGGCTCTCACACGTCACCTGCATTGGAATCACCTGGGGAGCTTTTTTTTTTTTTAAATATATTTTATTGATTTTTTAGAGAGAGGAAGGGAGAGAGATAGAGAGTTAGAAACATCGATGAGAGAGAGACATCGATCAGCTGCCTCCTGCACATCTCCTACTGGGGATGTGCCTGCAACCCAGGTACATGCCCTTGACCGGAATCGAACCTGGGACCTTTTAGTCCGCAGGCCGACGCTCTATCCACTGAGCCAAACCGGTTTCGGCACCTGGGGAGCTTTTTCAACTACGAATTGCTGGGCTCCATCCCCAGAGTTTCGGATTCAGTAGGTCTGGGTGGGGCGGAGAATTTTCATGTCTCACTCCTTCCCAGGTAAGGGTGATGCTGCCGGTTGAGAGACCACACTTTGAGAATAACTTCCAAATCCATCTGTCTCGCTTGACCATGTGCAGGTGGAATGCTGGGTGTAGAGCTTCCTGGGCACTGCCCCCTCCTGTCACCCCGCCCCCACGGCCACTGTCCCTGCTCTCGGCCAGGGTCCCGAGGACCCAGGCAGTGCTTACCCGGGAGCCGGTCCAGCCCAGCAGAGCGAAGGCCCGGCGCTCGTAGGGGCACATGACCAGGTCCACACGGATGGCCTTCCAGGTTTTTCCTTCCTGCTGGCTGGACTTGCCACCGTCTACTCTCTGATGGTGCAATTTTAAAATCAGGAAGCACTTTTGGAAGTGATCTAAAGCATCCACCTTCCTGCTAGGCAACTTGAACTTTTCAAATGTTGATTCTACAAGGTCATAGTATAAAAGTAATCCCTGCAAACAAATGGAAAGACACAAATCAGGAAGAGTCCCCGATGGACAGGGTCCCCGGTTTTACACCAGGCTCTTTTAAAATTTTTATTTATTATTATTTTTTAATTTTCATTTTTGTATTGTTTTCAGAGAGAAGAGGAGAGGGAGGGAGAGAGAGAGAGAAACATCAGTGTGAAAGGAACATCCAATAGCTGCCTCCTCCACACCCCTACTGGGCATGTGCCCTGACTGGGAATCAAACCACCTGGTTCATAGGTGGATGCTCAACCACGGAGCCATGCTGGCTGGGTGGCACCAGGTTCTTAAAAAAAAAAAGTTTCTATTGATTTTTTTAGGGAGAGAGAATAGAAACAGGCATGCCCGCTACTGGGGGTGGAGCCTGCAGCCTGACCAGGAACCAGTGATCTCTTGGTTCAAGGGGCCAACTCAACCACACCAGCTGGACTACACCAGGCTGTTAATGGATGTTCTTAATGGACGCCTTTCGGATTCCTGCAGAACGTGGGTGTGTTTTGTCCTGGCGCTGTAAGCCCACCCGGCCACGCCCAGAGAGGAGGCCAGGGCGGGAGGTATTATCCTCCCTCTGCAGCGGAGGAATTTGGCGGTTGGAGAGGCCCAGCCAAGGCCGCTTCACAGCAGAGCTGCCAGAGAATCTACCCCCCATTTCTGATCGCAGGCCAGTGCTCAGCAACTCGCCTTCCCCTTTAAGAACAAACCGACCATGAACAAAGAAAACACAGGCTGTGATTTTTAGCTCTCAGTCTTTAATGGTCTTTGTTTTTATGCCTTATGCTTAAGGTTTGCAACACAAAATGCTCCTGACCTTTGTTTAAACAAAATATCCTTGGTTACACCACCCCACACCTTGCAAGATAAATTTATGACACAAAAAATTTTAAAAATCATACATGTATATGATCATGTATGTGTGGGTAAAAAATGACAAGGAAGATTATTTCTTCTGCACACTCACACGTGCAGTGCACCCCCCTGCACCCCCCACCCCACACATACAGACAAGCATGGTAACAGTAAACTAAGAACTATATTTGCATAATATAAAATGGGGCTCTTAGGATTATGACATAGATTAAGGGCTCAGCTTGCCAGGATGGCCAACAGCTCCATGTAAGATAGCCAAAGAGAGAGTCAGGGGAGGGTGTGAGGGGGAAGGAATCTCCTTCTGAAAATGGAGGCTTTTTCCTGCACACACCTCTGTGGAGAGTTCATTCACTCATTCATTCATTCATTCATTCATTCATTGGCTCAACCAATATTTTTGAATGCCTACTTTGTGTCAGGCACCATGCACTGGTTCTCGCCAAGCACTAAGTTCTAAAATCTTAGTGGGAAAAGCACGAATACAAACAAACTACTTGGCAGCTCTCCAGTTTATACTGAGAAGGGGTGCCTAGCTAAGCATAGGGAGGAGGGATTCAGGGAAGGCTTTCTGGAAGGGGTGGCATTTGAATTGAATCTTAAAGGATGAGAAGACACCAGCCAGGTGACTTGAGGGAAGCCAGGACAAGCAGAAGACCCAGCTGAGCAAAGTCCCAGAGGCAAGAAACAGCCCTGTGTGTGCAGAGAATGACAAGCCAGTTGGGGTTGCTGGGGTGGAACACAAGGTGCGGGAAACCAGGCTGCAGAGAGAGGCTGGGGCCACAGCACCAGAGACCTTTCGTGCCAGGTTCAGAAGCCCAGGGAGCCACTGACGGCGTTAGAGCCGGGGAAGCCCTCGTATTTACCTCCGGAACCCTCCTGTCACGGTGACGAAGGCATCGGGGAGAAATGCCCAGACGGCCTCTTTAACCAGCACGCCCACAGCCTCCGCTTCGGCCTGGGTCACACAGCTGACCAGGTCTTCATAATAGAGGAATCCTGAGAGGCCATTGGACAGGTCAGTGGAGAGAGTGACACGTCTCGTGTGAAATGACCAGCCCTCCAAGGGAAGGGGTTCTGCTCCACATACAGCTAACGTGGCTACAGGCGTGTTATTTGTCCTCTCGGTTGTGAATTTTTCATGGTAACAATGGCTCTTTGCTTTCTAACTGAGAGGCTCACAATTTCCTAAGAAAGAAACAGTTTTGCATATCCCTGTAGAGACCAAGCGGTTCAAATCCGACTTCCTATTGAAGAGCCCGCTCTCCTGATCAGTAAGCCACGCCCTATTATTAAGGAAGACAATGCATAAAGGTTTGGGGTAGGAAGCTCAGGGCTGGAAGGTGATGGATGAAATAAAGTTAAAGTCAAGAGTAGGAAGAGGGTAGGTGTGCATCTAACGTGCAAAACGTCTTTGGTGGTTGGCTTGTTGCTTCTTTGTCTGACCACCATGAAGAAATGAACGCTCAGACGGGATTGTTCGGATGAAGAGATGTTGTAATGACTTGACTACTCCCACAGACCCATAAGGGGGCTGTGAGGCGGAGGAGTAAAGGAGAGGGAAGCCTTACCTCCAAGATGTGAGATGAAGCCTTGGCGGAGAGGTGAGCAGAGGTGGGGGGTCGGGGGGAGGGTTGACTCACAGACCCCGAGGGACAATGAATTATCCTTCAATACAAGGCTCTGTTCTCTCATCTCGGTCCAAGCGGGACACCTTCCAACTCTGCTTACGTCTCTCTAACAGTGGGAGGCTCTGATACCTCCAGGGGCAGCCCAATTCCCGATTGCAAAGTCTGTTTCAGGAATTCTCACCCCCCACCCCCCCAGTTTTATTGAAGTATAATTGACAAATAAAAATCTGTGTATATATTTAAGGTTTCCAATGTGATGTTTTGATAATTACCACAGTCAAGCTAATTAGCACACAATGGAAATGGATAAGTAAGTTAGGATACCAAGGCAGAAAAATTACTAAGAGGGTAGATCTCATGTTAAGTGCTCTTACCGCAATAAAAATCAACTTAACAAAATTAAATACATAATTTATTAATGTGAAAAAATAAAAAGCAATGTTCCATTAGACTTTTTATACAAAATATTTCATCATGGCTGATATTCAAACTGCAACTCACTTGGTAGCCATAAAATTCCCGTGTGCATTCAGGATGCACACACACCGAAAGTCATGATTGACAAAAATTTCTTTGAGGACATGTGCAGATATCAGGAATGAGCTCAGAGAGACTATAATAATTTGTTGACACCTGGGAAAGCAACTTTATTGGCTTTCTTGCTTTGCTCTTTGGTATGGTTGGGGAGGTTAACTTATTACAAGAAACAATACACTGAGCAATGTTATATTTCAGACAGTGATTGTTCAAGGCCAAATATATATATTTTTATTGATTTCAGAGAGGAAGGGGGAGGGAGAGAGAGATAGAAATATCAATGATGAGAGAGAATAATTGATCAGCTGCCTCCTGCACACCCTCTACTGGGGATAGAGCTGGAAACCTGGGCACGTGCCCTTGACCAGAATTGAACCCAGAGCCCAGAATTAAATACTGGGTCTTGTCTTCCCCTAGACTAGCCATGGGCAAACTACGGCCCGCGGGCCGGATCTGGCCTGTTTGAAATGAATAAAACAACAACAAAAAAAGACCGTACCCTTTTATGTAATGATGTTTAATTTGAATTTATATTAGTTCACACAAACACTCCATCCATGCTTTTGTTCCGGCCCTCCGGTCCAGTTTAAGAACCCATTTTCGCCCTCAAGTCAAAAAGTTTGCCCACCCCTGGGAGGGGCTCTGTGCCAGCAGTAAACAATGACTGCAAAGGATGTTATGGTTGGGTCACAACATGAGTAACTGTATTTAAAGGGCCAGAAGGTTGAGAACCACTGCCCTAGACTCTTATTTCCTATATGGCATCTTATAAAGTATATCAGCAATCTCTCTGAGGTTAGGAACTTGATGAGGGATGAGCAGGAGTTTTGTATAGCTATGTTGATGTGAACAAGCTCTGATTTGTTTACTTTTCCTTTGCTTGTTTCTTTTCAACACTTAAACATAAGATAGCTATTTTCTTTTATTTCTAGTCTCATCTTGTAGAAGATCCTCTTACTTTTATTTATTT